AAATAGAGATTGGTTAACAAGGAAGGAAGTTAGTCAACTGTTCTACATATCATGGTATAAATCTCTATTATGTATCAGGGTAGTAGGAGATTACAGGATCTCAACACCTATCGACAGCCAAACTGAAAAAGCCTGTAAGAGCAAAAACTAAAAATTTTGAGGAGACGAAAAAAACTACGCAATGTTCAATTCATTCTGACATGGTTTGATTTACGAATGCTTGGGAAGTTGTAGGTAACCTGCTGATGTGTAGGTAACTTTTTTTCTGAGCTTCTTGCTATTTCGAAGATTCATTGGTTTAAAATGATGAAACTATTGTTCTTTTTTCGTCTCATGTTAATTTTTTTTCAATATTTCTCTCTCCCTATATGCAATTCACCGGCATTGTAGCTTTTTTTTCAGCCAAGCTCATTTTGAAGTGTCCAGAAGTTTCGGTTGTTTTGAAGACCGTTTAATATTATATTCCTACTTACCACTCTCTTCTTTGCTCCTTCTAGGTCTATGGTAAGCAGTGCCGACCTCTGAGCAGGAGAACCGCCACTTATTAGAAATTTAAAAAAAGGAATAAAAGCGTATGAGAAAAAATAATTAGCCTATTAGTAAAGCTAATTGATTCTGTAGTCTATGCACAAAACTCTTTATAGTCTTTATTTACACGACCAGTTTCGTTACATAACGTTTTTTCGGTAACGCTGAACAGTTTTTTTACATCACAATTTGCTTGTTTTTAAATTACAGGTTTTTACAAAAGACCCTAGAGAAGAAATAAAACATCGTAGATTTCATTTCGTGGGATCACGATATGCGACAAGACGAGATTAACTGGAAAAGCTCAAAACCTCATTTTCCAAAAAAATTGTCCTTACAGGCTTTTGCAGTGAACAGCTCTATAATTAGAGCTATTTGGAGAGCTCCTGTGATCTCCTACTCTTCTAATATTAAAATAAAATAAAATATGAAAGTCACTAAGTTCATATAATAGAGAGATATAATAAATAATCAATATATTTTCCGAATGCGGAAATATTCTTGCGGATCGGTATCGGGTATAGTTGGCCCACTTCTAGAAAACAGAGAACTTTGGTCTGTGAAAGAAACCCGACAGAGAGAAAGGCTTTCTGTGTTGCCCTTTCCGAGCCGACAGCACATTTCCATATTCCGGGATCAATGTCGTTCAGACATCTTTGATATGCATATTTCTCGATCCACTCCTTTTCACGGTATTATAGGAGAAAATTCCGTATGCTCCTAAGGTATCCTACCTAGAGGAAAAAAGAGGTATTTTTAGAAATGTTTTTTCTCTCAAATTATGTAGATTGTGGCTTATGTTGCAGCGTTTCTTTTCTTGATATTTTCAATAAATGTTGAATCTTATTGCCATAAAACATTTTTACTTTCATTTGCATATGTAACATATGGTAAAGGTAAGTATTGCGATCGTGAAAATTTTGGAATCTCAGTTTTCAACGGAAATACACGTTTTAGGGTACCCTGAGTCCAAATAACCAAGTGCCGAAAAATGGTCTGTTTCTCTGTATGTGTGTATTTTAGCAGTCTATCTCAAAAACGAAAAGTCTTACGGAACTGATATTACGTATTTAAGATAGGTATATGCCTTAGATGTGACAGCAATTTTTTTCCTTAAAATCGGCTAACCGGAAGTGCCACTTTATTTCAACGCTCAATCACATTTTTACAATTTTCTCAAAAACAACTAGAAAACAACGATTTTTATTAAACTTGGTGTATCATTGTATAATTAAGTGGTCTTTAATATCATTTAGGTCTTTTCAATGTTGATGTCCCTTTACGGGGCTTAAAAGCCCAATGTTCATATACGTCTTCTTCTAAAGTACCTTTGATATGATTCATTTCAAATAATTATCTCTCATTATTAAAAGTCACTAAAAATGATAAACATAAATTTTAAAATAATTTGATAATTAAATAAAGGAGAAAAAAATAAAAATGCTCTCGGGAGTAGTCAGAAGGTATACGTATAACATATCGTTGGAAAGCAGAGAATTTTCTAAAAAAACAATATCTGATATAGAAAGTTGTAGAAGGTAACGGACATAGAGCACATAGAGCAACTCGAAATATTTGTCGTCATTGAAGTAATTTTATATTTTAAGAAGCAAACTAATCCACTTCTACGAAGTAGCAGTATTTAGACAAAGTATTTAATGGGGTACCGTTTAATTCAAAATTTCATGGGGGGGTCGGCAAATCGTATTGTCCACTTTTATTTTTCTTTCTAAAATAAATAAAGTCAAAACAAACATTTTGATAGGCTTCTATACTAGAATGGTGGTAAGTCTGTAGATCTAGATGTTTTCTACAGTTCTTTCTATTCTAGTTGTTTTGGAGAAAATTGTAAAAATGTGTTTCAGCGTTGAAATAAAGTAGCACTTGCGGTTAGCCGATTTTAAGGAAAAAGTTTCTGTCACATCTAAGGCATATACCTATCTTAAATACGTAATATCAGTTCCGTAAGACTTTTCGTTTTTGAGCTAGAATGCTAGCATACACACTCACAGACACACAGACCATTTTTTAATTTTTTTATTCTTTTTGATTATTATTTAGTTGTTATTTTGATTCTGTTTATTATTATTATTTTATTTTTTTTAAACATATAGTGTGAATGTGATCTTACTTCTCTATAATTATTTTTCGAGTGACAGAAATGTATTATTGATATATATATATATTATTGAATAGATAAATAAATTTCATTGCAATGAAAAATTGTTTATTGAGTTAGGAGTAAGAGAGGTCTTTCTTACAGAATGTTAAAACGAACCTTTTTTTAAAATCATTACACGTTTTTAGAGGATATTATTTATGAACAAAAATCTTTAAATTCTGTTTTTTTTTTATTTGCAGCTTTTAATTTTTTGTTTTGTTTTTTTAATACATTTTTCGACAGTGTGAATTCTCTCTATAAACTTTGCTCCTATTTTTTTTTCGAAAACCTAAAATTCAAATATCAATACAATGTGAGAGGCTTTTTCTTTAATTTATTATCAATAATTTAAAACTCGATTGCCTTAGATTATAATTTATGGAGTATTATTTTACACATGATTATGAATATCATTTTTTTTTAAATCAAACAGTTTAGATCTCTCAAAGAGCTGTAAACAGTGCAAAGCATTTAATAATATGCTAACAGCAATGATAATTTAAGTTGACACATTAAGAAAAATTAAATAGTAAAAGTGACAATATATAAATATACATTGTTTTATATCAAATAAATAAAAATATACTAAATTAAAGTACTTTTATAGATGTATAAATGAATAATTCATCTCTCCACGTATATATTTACCGATACATATATGAAAATAATATAATATGATTATGTGTACAAATTATTACACTAAACATGTTCGGATGTTTGGTATATACCGTTTAAGAAAATTCTTGTAATAATTGTCTATTATCAAAGAATTTTCTTCATTTTCCTAATTTTTCTGTTAGTTAGTGTATAGACCAACTGCTGAATTCTTTTGCAGTTCTAATTCTCCGAGAATTTACAGATTATGTTGCTTTTAAAGTAGGTAATATCTGTCTTTCTGTGTCAAGATTATCTCTTGGACGTGTGGAATGGTTTCATTGCTCCATTGACAAAGTGCTTGTCTATTAATATACAGATGATAAAATTAAAATGTAGAAGATGATGTCAATCAAATTTCTTCTTTTTTTTTTTGATGTGTTATCCTTTTCCTTTTGTTCCTCCTGTTCTACTTTCCTCCTGGCCGTGGAGTTCCGAGAAGACCTTAACAAAGAGGGCAGGAACGTGGCTGGAGGATTCCCTGCTAACAAAGGAAACGGATCCTGTTGTTCCAGACTCGCGGGGAATGCAAAAACCTCCTCTCCCTTCTAACTTCCATGAATGTCTCTTCCCAATTATTACACCTAGTTATGCAACTTTGTTAGATTTATAAACAATTAAAGCAAGGAAAAACCTTGTGACTTTATATTGTTATATATACATTTTAGAATTGATGGGGTTAGGGGTATTTCAGAATTAAAATATAGTTCTTTCTCCAGTCAATTCCTCAATGCTGCGAAAATACGACAAAAACGAAGAAGAGAACGATGGTAAAAATGAGACCCGTAAACATTTAAAAAAGACACATTCATAAAACAATACCAAATAAAATTACTCAACAAAATAAAGATGGAAAGATAAAAAAAAATTATCTTCTAAACGTTTATAATATTTATTGAATATAAAACACAACACCGAATTGCGTGAACTGTATCCGGGTAATATAATTGAGGTAATTTCATCGCGGCGAATCAAATGGGCTTGTAAAGTTGTTGGGCTTAATAACGAGAGAATTCCTAAAAGGTTAATATTTGCTGTTCCGAATGGTAAGCGTCCGAGGGGTAGACCGAAGATGTGAAGATTGCATTAAAGCCGATCTGAAGGGACTGGATTTGGACGGCGAATGGTGGAGGGAGGTGTGTAATAAGCGGTTGGTGGTGTCGGCATCGAACCTTCGGGTTCGCTAAGCCTTTTATTATTATTATTATTGAATATAAAAATATATCTAAATATATACATTTCCGACTGCTCCAACACTTACTAGACAAACGCTCTAAACTTTCAATTAATTACAAAAGACTTATTTACATAACGATAATAAGACCTATATGGACATACGGAGTTGAGTTTTGGGGCTCTACTAAATCATCGAATTCCTACAGTATCCAATCCTTACAATCCAAAATCCTTCGTAAAATCCCCCTTATTTCGTCACATATGAAACTATTCATAAAAACCTTAATTTGCGCTGTAGCGCATCTGCAAATTTCATAAAATGTTAAAATAAAATAGATACAGTTGTGTGTTTTTTGAAAACTTATTAAATTATCACGAATGATTAAATAATTAACTAAAACCCTAAATAAACTATGATCACACGTTTTTGCTATACTGCACACATTCTCTGTTTCATAACTGGAAAGTAGTTACTCATAGGATGCCTGGAGCATACTGCTGCCCTCCACTGGAAAGTTATGTCGGCGGCAAAAACTTAGACTTCGATAGTGCTTTGGTATGAGCAAGCTCGTTGTGAATTTACTACCTCGGTGTGGTTATTGTTCCTAACTTTTACTTTATGGTCTTCGGAGGAACTTATAAACTTATGGCAAACTATTTGATTTACTATCCACTATTTTAGTATCAAAGTGTTAAATGCCAGAGAGAGTATTCCTAAATGAAATAGTTAGTGAAATGTTTTTAGTTAGATCTGATAGAAGCATTAGTATTCAGAATTTAATATTAAAGAAATATCTCATAATATTAATATCATTTTAAGAATAGAGCTTTTATTTTTTTTTTGTGAAGAGTGAATTAGATTGAGCAGTCAGATTTCCGATGTGTAACGCTCCGGTAAAGTTGGTTGGAGTCGAATTATTGAAGTGTTTTTGCTTATGGATTTAAATATCTCAGAAACTAAAAATCGGACCTGCGTACTGTGAGCGAAGAAAGTGTTCGGAATTTCATATTCTCTGTAATGGCTATTATTCAAAATTGTATCACAATGCGACGCCGTGTTAGAGACGCGAAAAAGGAAAAAATAGTGTCGAAAACGAAATTATAACGAGTTTTGTTGAAGATAAGAATTAAAATATTTCGGAAACCAAAAATCGGACCTACATAGTGTGAGCAAGGAAATTGTTCAGTATTTCATCCTCTTTATAATGAGCTATTATTTATAATTTATATTTCATATTTTTAATCTCTCCTTGATGATGTTTTCACTTCTATCGTGTGATCTAAAGCGCACACGTTTTTTTTTTTTTTTTTTTTAATTTTATATTAGTAGATTATTATCAACCTTAAATCTAATTGAGATAAAATTTCAACAAGTACTTATTTTATTATTATTTTTTATTTTTATTTTGTCTACGATAACATTAGACGCTCAGCAAAGGAGAAGCAGCATAACATTTTACAAAGCCCCCAAATCATAAAAAAAAAAAAAAGGTGATGGTTACTGTTTGGTGGGCTTCATTTGGTTTGATACACTACAGCTTCTTAAATCCTGGAGAAACCATCAATACATAATCGTATTGTAACGAAATTAAGGTAATCCATCAGAAACTAGCAATAATGAAGCCGTATTTGGTCAATCAGAAGGGGCATATTTTGTTGAATGATAATGCCCGACCTCATCTCACATGTGACGTCACAATAATTGTTGGAGATATGAACTCTGCCATATCCGCCCTACTCTCCAAACCTCTCCCTTTCGGATTATCATTTTTTTAGACACCTGGACCACTACTTACGTGACAAAAATTGAATTAATAAAGGGAATTATAAAATGTCTTTTTAGAATTTATCGATTCTAAAGATGAGAAATTCTATTCCGATGGAATGGAAATTTTGGAAACAGATTGGCAGACATTTATTGATAGTAGTTGAGACTATTTTAATTAAATGAAACAGTTGTAAATCTTTCTTTTTTCTTTTTAAACCAAAACAACTCGGACAATCCAATATTTATATACAATGATTGTTTCTCAAAAATTAATAAACTTCTCGATCTATCGATGTACAACCCCTATCAGCCTCGGAAGACCGATACTATTAGCTAATAGGATTGGACCCTACTTAATGAAGTACTCAACCTTAGTCAACACACAATACACGGTGTCCGACATGTGTATCAGGGGCTGAGTGCAATAAGCGTAATTGTATTCGGCATGGAAATAATACAGGTTCTATATTAATATGTAACCCTTCATCTTATGTAGAAAATATTCAAAACTATTACTTCCACTTACCTATATATGTAATATATAGTAAGAGTAAGTATTGCGATCGTGAAAATTTTAGAATCTGAGTTTCGAACGGAAATACATGTTTTGAGATCTCCTGAGTCCAAGTAAATAAGAAAATTTTTAATAAATTGTCTATTACTGGTACATTTATCTTAATGCATACCAAAGGAATGGTATATTATACCTATTAGGTTAGATAAAATAATAAGAAAACAGATATTAATTATTATAGAGTCTATAATTTTTAGTTTCACTTCCCCTTTGTCTGAAAGTACTTATTTCTGCTAAAAATAAGGTGGTAAGCGAAAGTCATGATATGCGCCCACTAGATTTTTTTTTTATCATAATTTTATTTAAGCATTAAAGCGCAGAGAACCTGTGGTGGCGAAAATACATAAATGTATAACTTGATAGAAAATATTCCAACAAAAAAAAAAGAATTATTTATTTATTATGCTGTAATCCATAGTACCGACCCCTTATCAAATTTTTAACATCCACCAAGAATGTCTGCACCTTATCATTACTTAAAAAAACTTTATCTACGAAAATTCTCATAAATTGGGCCTTTTCTCAGTAAGTTAATTAATTTAATGGGTCTTAAAACCTTATAAATACCCATTTTAATTCCACTTGAATCATATAATAATTCAATCACAAAGCCAAAAAAAAAAAATAGTGACTTACAAAAATATTTGGCTTTTTGCCTATATAACCTCGTTATTTTGTGTTAGGTCCAATATTTTTGTAGGCCACATTTTTTATCGATTTTATGATCAAATTATCTTACGATTCAAGTGAAAAGCAATTTGTGTTCATGAGTTTCTTAGTAACTAATTAAATAGACAAAATTTGCACTCCGCCCCTCCCAAGATTGAAAACGCCCCAATTCCGATAATTTTCGAAAATGAGCAAGTTTCAGGCTACGATGAGATGAAGCTATTCAGGAAGTTTTTGACAGATTTTAATAATTTGATAAAAAAGGATCTGTACCACGGGCTATGACGTATGATTTATTATCCAAACCGGATTGCCACAATGTAAGCTCTTATAAGTAAGAATATTTTTTTCCATTGATTTATTCTCCCATTTTTTTTGCGCTCAATTACATCATTACATATAACGTTTCGGGATCCACTTATATCCCATCTTCAGACTAGAAATTACAACATATCGCTATTAACAATTATATATGAACAATAAAGCATTTATCAATACAAATAAAAACAACAATAATTTAATTTTGCCAATCTTACTAGTATCCTGCATCATCTTAATTCTCTATTAGACTTGTCATGTTAATTAAATTGTTTTATTTTTTGTTCTGTTGCTAAAAATGTAGTAATTTTAAATTTATTATTTATTTAATTATTATTATTAAATGTATTTTATTATTTTCAATGTTGAATATATTACCTGTAAATCTTATTTAAGTCTCCTCTAGGGTGAGTCTTGTCAGATACTGAAAATTAAACTTTAAGCAAGGGGTCAAACTCCAATTCTTGTATTTATTTTTATATATCTAATTTGTTTATAAGATAAGCATAGTGACTCCCTATTTTGCCCGCATCGATTTTAAAATTAATAGCGGTATTGCTAATAGCGATATGTTGTAATTTCTAGTCTGAAGATAGGATATAAGTGGATCCCGAAACGTTATGATGTAATTGAGTGAAAGAAATTGGGGAATGAATCACAGGGAAAAAAAATATTCTTACTTATATACCTAGGAAATAAGTATCTACCTTAGGATAAATGAAGTAAACTCTTTAATGTTTTAAATTGGCTAAAATAATTCATAAGTACAATAACATTTTTCGATGGAAGTTTCACAGAATTAATTTTTACAAACTTTATTCATGAGCAATAAATGTAAAACGTTATAAATTTTTATGTGGAAAACTCGATTACTCGTTATAATTCAACACATATTTCATTTTTCAATGTTTTTCACAGCAAATTTTTTTTTTATCCAAATTCTCCAAAATCAATCAAATAATTCGTACGAATAAGTTACAGATAATAAATGAAAATTAAATACTAAAAGGTGAAAAACATTTATTTTAAACTTTTGATCGCGTTCCCTTTTTTCAACGGTTTACTAATACTGAGAAATAATATTTTAAAAAACATACAGTTTTTATGCAACTCGAAATGCAGAAACAAGTTCTGTAAGCGTGAAGTACTAGCAAATACTGCAATAGTAATGAGGGGGAAAAAAAGAAATAAAGTTGTGAATAAATAATGACTTTTGTAAAGAAAAAGAATGGAAAAAAATTTACTAGACTCGACAGGACGATAATTTACTGCCTAGCTCTCTCCCCTCCCATATTCCCCCCTTTACCCCTCTTTTCCCCCCTTTTCCACTCTTCCCTCCCCCCTTTTCCCGCTCCCCTCCTGTTCTAGTGCATTTATCAGGTCTTTCTTTCTCTCTAGGTTATTTCTGTAAATCTGTCTCAACTCCTAGTTCTATAGACAATTTAACAAAAAGAAAATAGAACCCGAAATATATATTTCTTTATCTTCTATGTGGAAAGTCAGAGAAATGAGGTAAAATATTGTCTATTTATATTTTCCATCTCCTATTTCACGATATTTTTCATATTCATATATTCGTCATGATATGTCATCCTATACCAATAGTCACCAATAAGATTTAATTTTTATTTATTTTTTATGACGTTTCGGGCTCGCTGGAAGCGTTCTCAATCCTTTGATGCAGTGTATTTTTTCAATCTTATATTAAATTTTCAAATCCTAGTGAAATCACGAAATCTATAAATCTTAAAACAACAACGATCATAAAGGACGGTAAGGGACCTGAGCTCGAAATAAATATAGAGAAGATAATATATACGCAGTGGTTTATTATTATGCAATCCATTTTTTTTTTGTAGTAAAATTCGTAAATTAACAAAGAAGTGTATACTTCTTGAGTTATTCGGAAATGTAATTTTACCACCCCTCCTAACGTTTTTTCCAACTTCTTTTCGTTGAAGTATGTTATATAGATAAATTTAAAGGTCGTCGAGGAGAAGACTTTAGCCAAGTTTCATTGAAATCGGTACATTCGTTTAGGCACTACAGTCTATACCAAAGGCGGATTTACGGCTTCAGCCCGAAAACTCACCCAAAATAGTAAAATGTGCCCATGTTTTATCAAAAAAAAAAAATTATTAAAGTATTATTGTATGTGTAATTACATTTAATAGAACTTCAAGAATCACTTAAACATAATTTCAAATATGTAGTTAGTATCTTCCAAAATAATTATCGTTAGATATATGAAAAAAAAAAAGCTTTCGAACTGAAGCTCCTCCCCTCCCCCAAAAAAAAAAATTAAATCCTAGTTCCGTTAGTTATCTACACCAAGATTTTTCGGCCGCTATCTTGGCAATAAAGGGCGGATAGTAATGTCGAGGTAGGATGATCATCTTTGGGTGACCTCTGACTTTAATTCCAAATTTGAAAAAACAAATCGGTCCAGTATTTTCAGTGAACAGCAGACGGACAAAAAAATTGTATTCTATTTTCGAAGTCTACGTGTCGTGAAACGTAAAACCTCAAATTTTGAAGGGAGGTTAAATTTGTTATTGTTTTGGGCGATTAGAATGGTTCATTATTGAAAATAATAAACCAAAAATAAAATATAATAGAAAATTGAGGATAAATTGAAGACAGGAAATGCTAGCTATTTCCCTATTGCAAAACTACATTTCGCACGAAACTTAGAAATATGAATTTCCAAAATTATTAGCCTTCATTACGTCTTTGTACGAATTCGAAACGTAGTCGCTCATATTCTTTCGCATACTTTATTTTCAAAAATCTTAGGGCATTGCTGACTCCTTATAGTCCATTGCATAGACTCCTTTTTATCAAATAATTAATTATCGACCTGAAACTTCATAAATAGCTTCATCTCTGCGTAACCTACACCCCTAAATTGTCAAAATAACGAGGTTACATAGGCTAAACGGCCCAATAGCTATTTTATAAATTTTGTGATCAAATTATCTTACGGTCTAAGTGGAAAGCAAATGGGTAAATTCGAATTTTTAGAACCTAATTAAATAGAAAAAAATTGCAGACCTCCAGATTGAAAGCGTCCCAACTCCGAGAATTTTCGTCAATAAAGTATTTGTTACGATGAGATGAAGCTATTCACAAAGTTTCAGCAGGATGTTAATAATTTGATAAAAATGGGTATGTATCAAGAACTATAAGGGGCCAGCAACTTCTTAAGAATTTGGAAAATAAAGTATTGCAAAGATAATTTGCATTGAAGAAGGATTGAGCGAACCAGAAAAATTTAAACGAACTGAACACTGTTAATATAACTGAAGTGATTAAAATGTGCTTGAAAAATTGTTCAGCTAAATTGAGAAATAATCCTTAAGTCGCTGTACAGAGTTGTAAGTGTCCGAAGGTTTGACCGAAGCGAAGATGGGTAGATTACGTTTAGGTTACCCTTCCTTAGCATCATCAGATCAGAGAAGCAAATTTCTTCCAGTATGCGTCATAGAGTGATGTGATCCTGAGATTGTTTTCTTTTCTCTCCTTTGACGGATTATTATATTATTTACCAGCCTTAAAGACACAAGGCTTTTTCAATTATAACCTACTTACAAATAAAATCCATCAGTTTCATAAACTTTTTTTTTTATTCATTGATATTTACAACTGTATTATAACAAAAATACAACTAGTAAATGTGCACACAATAATAATACAATCACATAAAAACGCTTGTTGAGAAACTACCCATTGGTAGCACTCATTTACATAAGTAGGTCACGAGGCCATATTCTTTTCAGACGCCTCGGAGGGTTATAAGGGATCGAGGAGGAAGCAAGGTTTGAAACGAGAGGGTTCGGATGGTTCTGGAGTTTATTATGGAAGGATAGGTATCTGGATTGGGCCAAACCGGAAACATATGGTACATTAAAGTCTTTATGGATGATTTTATTTGTGGCAAAGTAAGGAGCGTTGAGGAGTTTACGAAGGATTTTGGATTGTAAGGATTGAAAACGAGAGGAATTCGATGGTAGTTTTATAGACCAAAATTCTAATTGATTTCCTTGAAAAATTAAACAATTAAATGGATTTTCATCTGTTTTCCAAATAAAAGCAACTTACGATTTTTTTATTTATTTTAGGATAGATTAAATCTTATCTAGATAATTTGGTTGTTAACTCTTCGTTATCCTCCGCAGGTATCCTGGATCAGAAGAAGGGACGCTCACATCTTGACCGTGGACCGCTACACCTTCATCGCCGACGACAGATTCCAGGCCTTCCTCGTCGACAAGACGGACACTTGGACCCTCCAGATCAAGTACGTCCAGGACAGGGATGGCGGGCAGTACGAATGTCAAGTCAGCACAGAACCAAAGATGAGCCACTTCATCACCCTCAACGTCGTAGGTCAGTAATTAGAGGATATATTTTTAATTGATTGTTATAAAGTATTGAAGGAAGTTAGTCGACAGTTCTACATATCATGGGTGATTAATATTCAGGACGCAGTCTTTTTTCGTAAAAAAAATTAATTTTTTATTCATGCCAACGTTTCAACCCAAACATGTGGGTCATCTTCAGGGCATGGTTTGAGCACTCACTCCATCCACAGTACTTGAACATCCTCAGTACAGAAAATTAATAATAATAATAAAAAATGACTGCGTCCCCATTTATTAATCACCAATGTTATCAATTATGTTTTAAAAGGTTTGATCAATTTATTGATTAAAATCTTGTTCTATGTCATATGTGGTTAAGGCCGTTTTACCCGTTCGATGGATTGTTCTAGAAATTGTAATGATGAATGAATTACCATTTCCATTGATTCAACACCATAACGGTAAATACTTAAAGAAATGATATTTTATATAAGCAATGTAATGTGATTGTCACTTCTTATCACTTCAAAAAATTTTAAAATTTGGTCATTAGTGACATATTTACTAATTAAAGAAATGCAAAGTTACACTGACACTAACACAATGGAAAAATGGAAGGACACTCAACATGTTTTGAAGTATATTTTCTGGACCCAAAAAGAGTTGTAAATTTGAACCTACGAACTAATAAAACCTTTTTACATAGTCAAGTTTCTCGATTAAAGTAAGTTCATCCAAGAAACTGGTCGAGAAACTTAGAAGTGTAAAAGATTCTTGATAGATGTTTGAAAAAGAATTTCTATAAATATTTCATTTATGAAGTCGATTATAGAGAATATGACTAATTGGAACACACTAAATGGGGCTTATTGTATTTATTGGATGCTTTCGATTTCATCCACTATTTAATCTTCAAAAACAAGAATTAAAATTAATTGTTTAATTACTTACTTACTTATCCGGCACTACGACCCTTGAAGTCGAGTCTTGGCCTGCTCCAGTGTTTAATTAGTGTTCCTTAATTGTTTAATTAATATATAGAATTATAGTAGAAAATTGACAAGAATGATATAAAATAGTTATGAACTGAAAAATTAAAAGACATAATAAGGAAGTAGTAATGTACATAAATAAATAAATAAGTAAAAGTAAAAATAAAAATCTCTCAAGACTCAAGCATACATATATACATTATTTTCAATCAGCAGGGTAACTCCGAACTAATCTTGTCCTCCTCTTGTGAAGGGAAAAACGAGACTTAGAAGATCCCTGCACTTCTCTATAAACCACTTCACTGGTATTTAAAACCAGCTGGGACTGAGTAAGAACACTACAGCCACAAACACTCATTAATTGAGTCGAGAATCTGGACTTCAATAAATACATATTTGCAGAAGGTTTCGGGGGCACTGCCGCGACGAGGAGGATTGTGGGGATTGGTAGTGCTTGATATGGATTTTGCTACGGAATTTGGATGATGAGTAAAGTTCTGATGAAATCCAGAAAAATTGTCTGGGATCAGATCAAGAAAAAATGGAATATTGTTCGGAGAACTTTAGAAGAATTGACTACGTTTGATGTTAGAAAATTTAGCTGTTCCCCGCATTATAGTTCGTTGGTTTAATATCATTAAATGGAATTTTAAATAATTAAATTCTCGCTTGCTGTTTAATAAGATTACGTAAATATATTTTAGCTAGAACCTAGAAGATAGTTAAAAAATTATTTATGTTTTGGTAAAGCAGGTTTTGATCAATTTTAATTCCGTTGAAATTTTTATATCATAGAAAGTTAGCTCATAACTCAGTTTCAATATTTTTTTTTTTCAAGAAATTCCAATTTTCTCAGATTTTGAAAGCTTCACATTCTATTATTTTTTTAGAATGAATAAATATGCATAGTTGATATAAAATAAAATGGCGATTCTATTACAAAAAATAAATCAACAGTCAACTTTAGGTACGTTAAACATTTGATCCGATTTAAAATATAAATAAATATAATTAAAAGAAAAATATATACATGGACAAAAAATATAATAGAAAAAAATTATAGTAATGAACATTGCAAGAAAATTGTCAGCTTCATAAATAATATCTATGTTTATTTTTGTTGAAATCAATTTATTGGATGAAGTAGACATGTTTGAGCAACAAACAGCAGCCTTGAGAATCGAGAACCGATCGAACTCATCAAATTGTGTACTCAAAGAGTGTATTCAATTGAGCGATAGTGTTGAAGAATGGGAGTGACGTTGATGTATCGCCATCTACCGCAGTTTGTTTAAGTGATTAAATCTGATACCTCAAAACCCGATACCTTACCTCCAGCGCAAAATGGAAATTAATCAGCTAATAGACATATTTTATAGTTTGTAAACATAAATTTATTTTACTATTTATTATAACTTTATTTTTAAAATTCTTAAATTTTATAACTTCAACTATAAATTCCTATAAAGAGGTATGTCAGTAAGATTTGATAACAGTATTTATTCTCCCAATAATTATCATTTATTTTATTATGAAGTTTCGGGATCCACTGTCATATCCCATCTTCAGACAGTATCTTATCCTAATATCCTCTAATTTTTTTTATAAGATTTGTCATAATTATTTTTTTTATTTTTATATTGTCATAATTCATTCCTTGAATTACAATGTGGACACCTCTAGGGAGAGCCTAGTCAGATACTAGTATATGAGTACTAGGAGTCCACATTATAATTCAACGAATGAATTATGACAATATAAAAATTATGACTAATGAAAGTGGAAACGTCATATGAAACGTCATAATAAAATAAAGAATAATTGTTGGGAGAATAAATTATGTTATTGATTTATCCATCACCATGTGCATGGATAGAGAGTTTGTTCATGGGGGGAGGCATGCGTTTTTTACAGCATTTTTACATTATTTATTGACCACGTCCACTGCACTTTATGTATTTGTATGCATGTTATGAATTAGGTTAGGAAAAGAGAGGAGAAAATCTAGGGAACGAGAAAGAGTGTATAGAGTGAGAGAAGGAACAGAAAGGGATGTATAATGCTAATAAATGAATTAAAGAAATAGTAAAAATAAAATAAATAAATAAAAATATAGGAAAAAAAAATTATGATAAAAATATATATATATATATAGATAAAAAAAAAATTGTATATTATGCTCATACATGTTGTTAATACTATATAATTGTATATTAGTTTTGGAAAATTGTCTGTAGCGATTAATAAGTATGCTGTGTTTAAAGCAACCCAATGTAATTGGGCAGCACCCTTTTATGATAATAAAGTGATTCTCTCTCTTACTTATATACCTCAGAAAATAATTATCTACCTTAGGACTATTGAAGAAATTCCTTTAAATATCAATGAAGGGTTATTACGGTTTTATATATATATTATCAATTATCTCATCAATAAATAGATACTTTTTTCTTGTTAGATACTCTAGATATTCGGTTAAATAAGGTTTTATCCGTGCCAGGGGAGAGGGCGGGAAATTGATGTCATATTTGAAAGTCCTCCCCCTACTCTCCCCTCCCGCCCCGACACCGGGATTCGATTTTTTCTAATTTAAAATACCAGAACAATATTCCAAAATTTAAAAATATCAAGCAATGAAAAAAATTATATTCATAACAATATTAAGAGACGTTAGGTTCAGTAACTGGTACCCTTTTCTTTAATTTATTTTATTGTAATTAGTAGTATAACCACTACTAACCAAAAGTTACATAAACCATAACATGAAGCTAGATAAAACAACTTTAATATTGGAAAAAAACTCACATACTAACTTCCAATTCACATCACATCATAGGCTCTTTACAAATGATTTCATATTTGTATTTGTATTTATTTTTGAAATATTTATAAGATTTTTGTTTAAATGAATGAATGAAAATAATTTTATTATTCTGGGACTAGTGTCCCTTTAGCACAAATTATAAGTATAAAATATATATTAACATTCTGTTGTGTTCATAAAATACAATTATATATTTACAGGATGATTGATAATAAAATAAAAGTACAGATAATGGAAAGATATAAAAACGAAACAAATATAAAACAGGCAGATAAAGTAAAAAAAAATAAACAACATATCAATAAATCACAAAATAATCAAAGTATCTGGGGGTACTTTGAGATTATTACGACTTAGATTTTTTCAAGTGCATTTCATGATCAACCGGCTTGGGAACGGAGTAGGAGTTTGAAGTAATATAACTAGCCATATTACTAATAATATAATATTATTATATATTATAATAATATTATAATAGTATAATATTACTAGTAATATAACTAGACATACTAACATACCAATATGAAATATAGCTTCAGCTGACATACCTACCAATAAGAGGAGGAGACTAAAAAGGCGCTGGATGAGAGACCTCCTTCCTTAACAAACAGTGTTAATTGAACCTAGCCACACAAGAGGTACTACTGAGTGCTATCCTTCCTCATATCTGATTTTCGTTAGTTTAATCAGATCATCTGCTCATTGTTAACAGTCGTCGATAGGTGCAAATATTTTTAAGTTATTTTTCATAGCACTGTTTGTTACCTTATAACAAAAGAGCATCGTGTAGTCTTTTATTATATAACCTAATAAGGAAAATCTTTCAATTTAGTTACTGACGAAGAGATTGCTCACAGATTTGGAAGCTAAGACTTCCCCCAAGTGTAATCGATATCTCTAATGACCCCCGAAGCCAAAGGAATCGATTCCTATGTAAACTGATCCACCGAAGCCAACCTAAATAATTCCTTGACATCGGGGTTTGGGGACCTCTGCCTCATTAACTGCATCCCCTTTGTCTACTTTTCTACGCATCTGCTACTCAACTTTTAGAATTAATATGTATATATTTTTTAAATTCCATTCTATAGTTTGTAATTATGGATTTATCAAACTATTGCCTACAATGGTCATTCTGTTAACTAATTCGATATAAGCTGGTGCAAATTCACATTAAAACGTTTAGAAAAAAACAATAAATAAAAAATAATCAGAGAGTGAAACGTTGTATTAATGAATTTTAATTATCTGTAACCGCTCTGATGTATAATTATGTTTTAGACCGAACTCATTATTCAAAAACAACAAATACCTTGAATACATTAAGTATATTTAATAAATTACAATTTTTGTTAATATCAGCATTCTTCTTTATTCAGAAAATAAAATTTATTCCCATTGAATATTATTTGTAAAAATATATTATCATATATTTATGAACTCTACAATATTCACAAAATAAATATTACTTAGACAGTAAAGATTTCCATTATTTTTGAAGCAATAAAGCCAATGTAAACAGTTGCCTACATTTATTAAAAATATTATTATTTTTATTAACTTTATTTTTTCACTCGAACCTGTGAAATTTTCCGACAACCAGTGTGATGTCGAGATGTAGAAGATTGGAATAGGTCTTTGAATAGGCTTGAAGGAGAGGAGTGCCCAGTGGCGTCCTTCCTTTCAAAATTTTAATGTTTGTAGTTAGTGGATGAGATCCCTCATCTAGCTTTTTTTTAGCTTCCTTTGGGTGCTTTCGGCCATGTTAGTAGTGGTCATTCCTTAAATAAGTGAGTTGGTATATCCGTGTAAATTATTGTGTAATATTTTGTAGTATGTTTGTATGTGGTCGTTAACTGTTGGCATATCTATGTCTTCATGTAAAGTAATGTTACTGAAGTACCAGGGTGCCTTGTAGATAGTCCTCAAAGTTTTTGATTAATAAGTATGTGAGTCTTTTTGGCTGTCCCGAATATCTGTGAAGCGTAGGTTCAAATGGGCTTAAGTAAGAATAAGTTTGTTTGTTTGT